AGTCTGTTTTCTCGTTTTTTGTTCAGCATTTACCGGCCGCAACATCCACACGCTTCAACACAAAAATCATGAATAACAGGCCTGTTAATGCAAAATTTCCCAGCTAACAGAGATATCTACATAAAATGTTAATTCTGTGCTAGAAGACTGTTAAAACAGCTGTTTTGTCTTTGGCGGGCAGCAGCTAAACACGAATTTAACACTTTCCCTTTACAAAAAAAATATGTGTATTATTATTCTCATCAAATTGAGAGTCGGCAAATAAATAATTGTAAAACTTGTAGTTATCGCAGTTTTTATTTTATTTAAGATAAAAATTTAATTTCGAAAATTATGGACCCAGTTTTCATTCTGTTAACTGTAGCAGCAGCATTACATCGCTCTGTTATCGCCAGTTTATTTTAACATTGTGGAAGCGAATAAGAGAAAACGAGAGAATACCAAATAACTTGCGCCATCTGGTGTTAAACATTTTTCAACCGACGCTCGCTAAAGAGCGTAGTACAGTTTTCTGAAAGTAGGGGAAAATGAGCAAGTCTGTGGATTCTGTTTACCGATAGTTCATATTTGTATTTGAAGGAATGCCACAATTATTTTCAAATTTGTATGAAATCTTCTTTGAAGTATTGTAAGCATCGACCAAGAAATTTATTGTTTGCACCACAAATATGTATATATGTATATGAGATTAGATTCCTCTCAAGATCACAAGATTTATTGTTGACCCTAGAAACTGACTCGATCATTCAGATTGCATATTTACTAAACGGAATTGTGTATATAAAGTCAAATTAATCCTATCTAGTACTCGTATTATACAAATATTTTTAAAAATATGTTATATTTATTAATGTACCGGCTTTTGCTTATATACGAAATTCTTAAGCAAGTTTATCAGCTCAGAGTTTAATAGGCAAATATGAAGTGTTACCTGATTTGGTCAATTTTAAATTACAGACAATAGAATTTCAAGGTATTTCTTTATAAGATGTCCAAACTCCTATTAACAAATTTGTAATACAAAAGCCTTTGGCTAAGGGTTTCAATTATTCTCTTAATTAAATACATATGTCAATTACCCGTAACAATTTTATTGTCTTATACATTTAATTCGCACGGGCATTATCTTAATTCTCGAGTCGATTCATTTATTTACATACACTATATAAATGTATACATATATGTATATATATGAAAATATATGCATATATGGATTCTGGCATTTCCAGCGGTGATTAAAACATCCGCTCGAATTCTTTGTGAATTCCATCATATTAATTCTTTATAAATTCTATATTCATTATCAATAACATTCAATATCAAAAATATAAATAAACTTTAAATAAATTTTAAATAAACTATAAACTTAGATCTCTTGTAGTTCCATATATAATTTGAATAATTTAAATTGAATAGAACTATTTACATTTATATGAATTTATTAAAATTCCATATAAACAATGGCTATATTAACTCTACATAAATTCCATATGATATATATAATTTCAATACGAATTCCATGGTGCCTTCATATAAATATATTGCGCCTTTATTATTGTTCCATTTAAATATATTGCTTATAAATTGTATATAAATTCTATGAAATTATACATACTCCTTATTTCCTAAAAGTTCATTAATAATTTACCATGTAAATTAGAAATCAATATTTTTAGATTTTATCATTTTTGTAAATATACCATACTGAGAGTAAATTACAGAGAGAAGCCCAAGTAAAGTTCCTTCATTTTTAGGAATAATTTAACTCTTACAAATTTTTTATTTTTTTTTGTATTTGCAGGGTATATATATTTACTGGGCTGCATATAATTAACTGGGCTGCGGCTTTATGGCCATTTTTGCTTGTATCTTGTATACCGATTCAAAAAAAAAAAAAAAATCGAGTATATTGGTTTTGTGAAATCTTCGTATTATTGTCCGTCTGTATTAATGCGTGATATTTAGAATCATGTACTCGTGTATATCCTAGAATTTCTAAATTGATATGCCTGAAACGCCTACTAGGGCTGTGGCAAATCGGAAACGATATCTCAGAAACCATTTTAGTTGAAATGTGAAGTATTTACTCACTTTGAGAAACCAAGATCAGAACGATATGTCAGCTATATAGCTGCCCATCGGGGTCATGGCAAATCAAGAAAAGACCATATTTTGTACAGTTTTAGAGGTAGGAGCGACTACACTGTTGGCACCCCCAATTAAGGGTATGGCAAGTTGGTAAATTGATCTGGAAGAGATTTGAATGAGTATTCTGGAGTCGGTAATACCCGCTAGCAATGTTCTGATTTTTTTTAATACAATGACAATTTGCTCATGTTTAACATTCTGTATCAACTCGAGTGGGTCGTACGAAATTCCAGTTGGAATATCACAAAATAATATATGTGATAGAGGAAGAGAGAATGAGTGAACGAGAGAGAGCAAATGAGTGCTACTTAGTGTTAGACCGCAATGCCAAATAGATTGATTAGAGAAAGAGAGAATAAGTGAGAGAGAGAGAGAGAGAGACAGCTCATAAGTGAGAAAGAGATAGCGCTGTCTCTGTGTTATCAGGCCCGGTAGTTGGCCTACAGTTCACTTTAGACCGCAATGCCAAATAGATGGTATAGATTGGGAGGCCGATGGACGGCTCTCTGGCTGAGCATTGGAATGCTAGTGGGACTGCAGCTGGCGCATGGAATGCGCTGCAAGGTGCCCTACGAGAAGGTGCAGAACGACTACTGCTACTTCATAGCCGACGAGGAGCCGCTGGTGAGTAGCTGCAGATGCTCGCTCTAGCTCTAGCTAACTGAGTCTGCTGCCCCTCAGGCCAGCTCGTTCAGCAACTTCTGCTACCAGGACAAGCGTACGTCACGCGTTTGCCTCGACAGCGATGCCGAGATGCGCGTCCTGGCCGACCACCTCTATGCGAGTGGCTACCAGAATGGCACCCGCTTCTGGAGCGCCGGCCATCGCTGGCCCGGAGACCTGCAATTCTATTGGAACTACTTCGGACGGGCCCGCAGCATCAACTACACCAACTGGCTGGCGGGCGAGCCCTCCTCGGGCATGGGTCGCAATTGCGTACTGCTCACGCTCCAGGCTGGCGAGCTCTTCATGTCCACCGAGTCCTGCTACACTCGAGCCGTCGACATCTGCGAGCAGCTGCTCAGCAATGAGCCCACCGTTATGCACTGACGTACGCCCTTCCCACAGCATTCTCGTTTGTTTTATTTCACACACATATACCAGAGATAAGAAGATTCAGGGGCGAAGCTAGGGGGATAGACTAAAACAGGCTAATATTTAAAAATAATTGCTCGAATAGCAGGCTAGATTAAAAATAATCAAAGGAAACTTACTAAAAGTAAGTAATATTTTTTATTGTATAAATATAATATTGGATAGAAATCAGAAAAATTATGAACTTATCATATTTAGGCCCAAGGCATTAATAGCCTACAGTATAAGGTACTATATTACTATGGGCGTGGCAAATCGGAAAATGCATTTTCCGATATACCAGAAATCATGTTAGTTGAAGAGCTAGAAAGATGAAATTTGGTGTGTAGGTTCGTGCCAGCCACACAAGATCACGAGCTACGGTAGATATATTTCCGCCCATAGGGGGCATGGCAAACCGCAAAAGTTTATATCTCCTACAGTTTAAGAGCTAAAAGCTTCAAATTTGGATAGTTGAGTTACTGGTAACCTCCTCTATCGATGCCCCAAAAATAACGCCTCTTTAGGTGCGTGGCATGTCGAAAAATACCCTGTCATTTTTACATTTTTTGAGCGTAAGAATTCAAATTGCATTTAGGTTACCGGTTGCTCGTTCTAAGGACTGGCCAAAAATGAGGCCACTAGGGACGTGGCAATCGGCATTTATAGTGCCCGGATCGCTGCATTTATATGCGTTAGCCATATATTTACATATGTATTTCTACATATAAATAAGCCTAATAGCAGGGACCGTAACAATTATAATTTGTATAGCAAAAAATTAAAAAATAATTATTATTTTTTGATAGATTAAAAAAAAAATTATATTTAAGTATTAAAATTGATTTTTATGATAAAAATCAAAAATAATTATACCCTGAACCCATTGAAAATGGGAAATCAGGGTATAATGGTTTTGTGAAAAAGTATGTAACGGGCAGAAGGAGGCGTGGCAGACCCCACAAAGTATATATATTCTTGATCACCGCGACGAGCTGAGTCGATATAGCCCTGTCCATCTGTCCGTCCGTCCGTCCGTATGAGTGCGTCGATCTCAGAAGTTATAAGAGCTAGAAAGCTGAAATTTGGCATGCATACTCGTGTGTACCATACGCAGTACGAGTTTGCTTTATTTTTTCGATAAATCATCCGATAACTTTTTATCGAGAATAATCGAAAATTTGATTTTGTTTTTTTAGCCTAATTTGAACACTTTTGGATCTGGAGTCTTCAAATTTGCGTTGTATATAAAGTTAATCGATACAAAGATTTTGTAATTTACAGATTTTGGATACCACGCCCCCTTTTCCCCCAATTTGTAAAAAACGCATTTCAAATACTAGAGACTTGTGCTTTGGAATGTACACATATTTACCACATATTTACCATATAAGTGCGCTCTGAAAGTTTCATTAAGATCGTATGTCTACAAAAGAATTTATTCAACAAATAAATTCTCATAATATTGCCCACACTGCAGCGCAGCCCAAGCGCAGTCGCTGCTTACTGCGCAGTTAGCAGAGCACGGGCTTATGCGTGCGTGTCGATGCATGTGTATGTATGTGTGCATAAAAGAAGTGCAGAATGATTAGAATATCAGCTTAGAGGGTTCAGGGTATCTCCTAGTCGAGCAGTCTCGACTGGAGCCTTCTTATTTGTTTTTTAATAAAAAATTACAAATAAAAGTTTATCCTTTTTTTGAATTCGCCATAAAAGAAATCCTTATGTGTGATTTCCTCTCTCTTCTTGGTAGTTCTTTTGACTCTCATTTTTTTTTAAATGCTCATATTTGCGGTCCCTGCTTAATAGGTATTCATCATACGGAAAGAAACATTTTTATAAAATTTAAAAGATATAAAAGAAGCTAAAATAACAAAAATTTGTAATTTCCAAAAAAGAGTTTTCCGCGGGATTTGAACTCGGTCACCGAGTGTCACTCGGTCAACTCTCATTTGCGAGCTCTGTTTGTAAATCTACCAATATTATGATGGATCATTAGACCCAACTAGTGCCTGTTCATCCTCTTTTGCTTTTCTTTTTGAATTCTTTAATATTAATTTTAAGGCTAATATAATTGCAAGAATAATTGCCACCGAAGGAATATAAAAATCGGGGGTTTTAAGGATCTTGCATAATTTCTGTTGCCGTGTCTCATATTCGCATATGTAGTACTCATAGAAGCCCAATGATGTGACCATGAAGAGCTGCGAATCGATCAGCTGTAGACTCAGAAAACTGCTGTCTTTTGGGCCTTCGCCTGGCAGCCATTTGCTGTAGTCGACCGACTCCTGCAACGCGTCCCATTTGAAAGGCTCTGGACTGTGGAAACTGTGGCCCGATGTGAAAAATCTACTTCCGTTCGCGTATCTCCGATCGATGATGTACTTCTGCAGATCATTCATTTGCGTCTCCGAGACAACAGACACGAGTTGTCCGCCGTTCGAACGACATTCCTGGCGAGCATCAAACCAATAGAATATCACTGATGCCTAAAATTATAGAGATCTTATTATCGTTGTTTTATACTGAGCTCTCTGAGAACCGCACATTGTCGCCCTCTCCTATGTAGTATGCGAAATTTCCCACTTTCTCAAATTCATATAGGCTCACGCACTGAACTAAATATATTGTACATAATATTAAGCACATACAGTGCTGAAATCCTTTGATTCTGAAATCCATAGCAACTATCGCACTGCAGCCGTCTAACTATGACTGAACGTAACAATCTTCCACGAAATGCTATCAAACTCAGTAACTCTTATCTCTTCAGGAATACTTTATACTTTTTATACCCTACAGGGTATACAGGGCCAAATCGACTCAGCTCGTCGCCCTGATCAAGAATATATATACTTTGTGGGATCTGCCACGCCTCCTTCTGCCTGTTACATACTTTTAACAAAACCATTATGCCCTGATCTCCCATTGAAAATGGATTCAGGGTATAAAAATAACATAGAAGAGGTTTCGAACCTCCCCAACTCCAACATAACTTGCATCGTCCTTAGCACCCGCGCCTCTGCTTTGCTTGATCGGCCAGTTGCTAAAATATAATAGCTTAAAAAGAGAGCGTAATCAGACAAAACTACAGTAACGGCTAGAAAGTCCAGAAATCAATCGAAATTCTAAGAATGTGAGAAACGGCGCGCTTCTGTCTGTACGCATAGAATAGAGGATGAGTGTGTGCACATGTATAGGAAAATCACGCTGATCTGCTGCTAGCTTGAAGCCGGTATCCAATATATGGATATAAATATATAATAAAAATCAAAATTGTATAAATTATACATGTATGTAATTTGAATGCAATGATGCAATGATCATCAATAGCTATCGATGATTTTCCAATTTTTTTTTTTTTTTTGGGATCATGCCCTGTTTTTTGTTGCGCACTAGACTGGAAAATGGCACTATATACTCTGGTTGACAGCGTTTGGGCTGTGAATGAGTATCCTGCAATCGGTATCGCCCGACTGCAACGTTCTTACTTGTTTTAACTATTTTTTTGTTTTCTAATTTTTATCATCCCATTCACAGACGATCTAGACGATCTAGATCTCCGTAAGTGTCGTCCCAAATTAAAAATAATCTCCAATCAATACTTTGATTTCGTTGCAAATAGGCTTACCACTTACCATCGTTGCTAAACATTCACTGATCTGCAGTAATTTTAAAATTTTTGCATGCTGTATTGCTATATTATTCGCATACTATAACTCGATAGTGATTCGGTTACATAGGTTGCTTTTGTTTTGCTTTTCTTTTGAGATAAAGGTAAGCTTACGCAGTTCGAATTAATAGTGCTCAACTTCTTCTTCTCTCTTAATTCTAGCGTTTGAATAAATTACTCATATTATAGTTTATATTATATTTGGTAGTCGAGCCACAACGATAGAGTTATTTTACCTATTTTTAAAAATGACGACACCTTAATTAAATTGGTGCGATAAAGTATATTATGTCAATAAAAAGAGCCTCTGGAGGAAGTGATATGTCAATAATCTTTATGCCTACTCAAGAATCAGCACATGCACACCGATAACTTTTATACCTTGAACCTATTGAAAATATGTATATGAAAATGTATAAAATCCTCAAGAATCTATATATAATATTTAGGAACTCTAGCTCTAATATGTAAGGTTGATAAGGATGATATACACGAGCCTGCAACGACATCATGTAAAGGAAATTGTCAAACATGGCTGCGGTAGCATTATGGTTTGGCGATGCCTTACTTGGTGGATCGTTGATCCTCTACATAGAGTACAAGGTATAATGCGGAAAAAGGATTATATGAATATTCTTTAAGCCCATCTTCCCAATTTCATTGATAACTGTTCGTGTCCCCAAAGAGAAAGGGTTTTCAACAAGATTGCGATCCAAAACATACTATGAAGATTATTAAGGAATGGATTAGAAAGCAGAATTTGAAGCTAATGTTCGCTCCATACATATAGAGTCTATATATAAATCCTATCTCGACTTCACTCCTATTGAAAATCTGTGATCAATAGTGAAAAGACGGCTGGGACAGTATGATGCAGCCCTAACGAACATAGACAGCTTATGGGAGCGCGTAGAAGCGGAGTGGAGTCGAATTCCGAAAGAAATGATTCAAAGTTTGGCTGAGAGCATGCCAAAATGAGTCAACAAACTTATTGCTAATAAGGGTTTTACACCAAATATTACAAATGTTGCTCGGTACTGTATGTATGTGTGTTGTGTATATATACACAAGTGTGATTGCCAGTAGAGGCCATATATTGATAGATAACTGGTTAAATAGTTTGTGCAGGTAGCCGAAAACTGAACATACGCTTCGACATTCTATACTTGTACTAGCCAATATCATATCAGGGCTAGCGTGAAAAGATTACTAAAGTCAAGCAATATAGAGCAGCAGATCGACCGATATGGTGTACGCTCCTCGATTGAGTGAACGAACGTCTTTTAGCAGTCGTAGTAGAGCTGGGAAACCATCGATGCAACCATCGATTATATCGATGGACTTTAATTTTTATGATATATCGATGAACTTTTGTCGATATCGATATATCGCCGCTTTGAGTAACAAATCAAACACACGTAAGTAGTGAAATTTTCTTTTGTAACAAAATAATATTTATTTTTTGCGTGCTTGATCTATTTTTGGAAATTTTATAAATAGTTGACAAGCATAGCATACGGACATTGTTAAACATTGGTAGTTCCTCTTCAACATGGACAAGTTTGTCGTTCCAGCTTGAACGTATTTTTCACATTTTAGATAAAACCTGCAATGCCTCCACTACAATTGCATCTTCAAATGCATTGACTGAATCCAATGAGCCCAGCATGAAACGAAAAAAATCACATCAGAAGTTTGGTCACATTTTGAGAAACTGATGAACATGCTTGCCAAATGCCGTCTTTGCGGAAAAGAGTACCGCACGAGCGGCAACACTTCCAATATGATGGAACACTTAAGACGTGGTAAGAGACCACGTTGAAACAACTGCTCCATTCACCTCATGACATCGATCCGCTACAATTTTGGAAGGTAATTTATAAAATGGTCCGTTTTGTTTCCGATTAACGAACACCAATTAAATGCACTCAGCTGTTGTGCTATTAAATACTTAGCTATTCCAGCTAGCTCTGTGGAAAGTGAGCGCATTTTTAGCAAGGCGGGTGAATTGATTTCTGAGCGCCGGGCGTCTTTGAAAGAAAAAAATGTCAATCAATTGATTTTTTTTAACAAAAATGAATGGCTGTTCCCTGAAAACAACGAGACTAATATTTTAGTATTATCTTATTTTTGTAAATATTGAATATTTACTATAACTTTATTAATTTGTTATATTTTTATTTTTTAATTTGTCGATAAGAAAGAAAATGGATCTCTTTTATATTTAAGTTATCTTTAAAATCGTTATGTTGAATTTGTGCTATGTTTTGGAAATGAAAATTTAATGAATTAAACTTTTATATTTTCTCTATATTTGTCTATATTCTTTATTCTTATTCTGTAAATATGTACAAGGAAAAGTATGAAATTACAAGAGCATTTTTTACATTTATTTCTTTTATGAAAAGTACGACTTTTATACAAAAAAAAGTTTAAAATTTTAAAGGAAAAAATTTTCGATGGGAGCCGTCCATCGATGGTTTCCCAGCTCTAAGTCGTAGCACATTGAGTCTATTATCAGTGATACACCCGAAAATCGAAAAACAGTGATCGATCTAGTGCATAGCCATATTATCGAAAGTGTCATCGATGATTATAACCGTCTGCGTATAATATCCGTACAAAAACTGATTAACGATGTGCCGCCACGCTTGTAATTCGAGCTGTCTGAACGTTTGCACCTGCCGCAGGTGTTGCTTAAAATTACTTATGGCATAATGAAGCACGTGTCTAATTTAATAATTCCACAGTGCGACTCCTGCTGCTCCTCTGCAGTGTGGTATGTAATACAAATAAATGTTGACTAAATGCTTTTAAGTACTCACTCTTCACTTTTCACAAAACAGTAACAACTCACGAGCAACTCACGACAAACTATCGGCCAACTCACGAGTGCTGGCTGCCAGGCAAAGTAACAGGAAATTTGTAGGTTTCAACTCCCGACGGCGACGGCAATTAACTCAAATTGATAATGACGACTCAAGTTGTGGGTGGCTTAAGGCTGGAGGCGGCTCTGTGTGTGTGTGTGTGTGTGTGTGTGTTTGTACCAACACCACCTGCTGGCTGCGACGTGATTTCATTTGCACTACGCCAAATGGCGACACATTTCGACACGTACTGTAGCATAATTCGGCGCCGTAAGCTTCAGTTCCGTTCCGTTTAGTTCAGTTCAGTTCAGTTTAGTTCAGTTCAGCTGAGCTCGTTTCAGTTTCGTCTTAGAGCTCTGAAAGAGCAAAATAAATGCTGGAATAGCAAGCTAGCTGAAATAGTGTAAGAAATCATACGAAATGTAGCTAAAATGTTTTCAAATTGCCTTTTCTATCTAGATTGTTTTTCTTCTTAATGATATTTATTCATTTGCTGATCTTTTTTTTACAATTTCGTCAGTTCTGTTGGATGAAGTAACAAGCACACAAAACATACAAAAGATGACAAGTTTCGATATTTGTATACCGCAAAAAATAATTAGCTTATTAAATAAAAATCGATGCCAGGTATATGGCACTAGATAACTTGTAAGATTTGCAAATATGTAAAATTTATGCCTTTGGGCTATTCACAATGGAATAGTCATTCACAAGGCTAGTCCACTTTAAAATATGCTAGATCAAGCCTGAAATAGGCTAGGCTGGCAACACCATTCAGTTGAGTTCGGTTAGGCTGAGCACGCTGCTCTGCCCTTTGGCATAATTAAAATGAAATCATTTTCGACAAGTTGGTTGCTTTTGGCTCCTAACAGCTTTTTCGGCTAGCTATTTGCATTCCTCGCTGGCACGTACCGCCAGTTAGACGTTATGCGCGCCATATGATAATAAACTTCTGGGCACTAGCTCCAGCTCCAACTCCAACTCCAGCTCCAGCTTCAGCACAGCTCCAGATGTGGCTGCTGCTCTCCCTCTCTCTCTCTCTCTCTCTCTCTCTCTCTATCTCTCTCTCTATCCCCATCCAACTCTTGCCTGTCTGTGTTGTTGTGACTTGTTCGTGCTGGAATTTTTATTTAATTTGCTCAACTGTCGTGTATGCTGCTCGCTGTTGTCTTCCCTGTTTGCTGCATTGTTTGAAATTAATTTCACTTGTCGTTCCACCATCGTGTCGTGCGCTCCTCGTCATCCGTGCCGGTGTGCCCTGTGCCTTGTTCCTTGCGCATTGTGCGTGCCGTTGTCAATAGCGCTTAGCTTCGCATAGCTGAGGCGTCAGAGCCAAGGACAAAGTTGGCAGCGAGTCCTTGCAGCCTCGCTGCGATTCGCACTCAATCGTTTGGCCAAATCAGCGCGCTAATCATTCTGCCACAGACACTGCTGAGGCAATGCAACGCACTCGCTCAATGACATTCGGGCATGTCAACAGCTAGTCGCTGTGCGTCTCCTCCTCCTTCTCCTCCTCCTCTTCTTCTTCTTTTATTGCTCAGCCGGAAGTAGTAAGCCCATAAATGTCATAGAGGAAGCGAGCGGCTTTGGCTGAGCTGCCAACAGCAAGCAAGTCGAGTCTAACTTATGTACAGCAGCATCCGCAGCATCTCTTTGCGTCCCTTCCCAATGCTTTGCATCCCATGCCATCCTTGTCTTGTTGTTCTGCCGTTCGTCTGTTTTGTCATTAATCACCGACAATAATGAACTTCCGCCGTTTGTAGTTGCAAAATGGCGCCGATTTGGATTCGGATTCGGACTTGCAACGGCTGCCAGCAGCGACTCCTCCTTCGCCATTCTCCGTCAGTCTCTGCCATTCTCCGGCGTTGTCATTAGCGCAATGTTGCAAAATTTATCGTGTGACTTATGAGACGAGCAGCTGGACAGACGGCTGCCGGGGCCAGTCCAGGCCAAGAACGCGGCTCTGGTCTCTGTTTTGGTCGTGTGATTTTATCGCTTCGATTTACGACTCATAAAAATGCTAGCGACATCCAAACTGCTTATGCCCCACACTAATACTATTTCACTCTCTCTCTCTCCTCTCTCTCTTGAATGCTCTGTTTTGGCTTTTTTCTGCATTTTGGCGAATATTCGCAGCGTTATTTTTGCCGTTTTCATGCTTGATTTACCATGCCCCGTTCCCGTCTGTGACTCCGGCCCCGTCTCCGCGCCCGCCTCCGGCTCAGCTGCTGTCTGCGGGACAGTTTGTTGCATGAATGTCTCTATATACATTTTATGGCCATTTAGTGATGCAGAAAATGTTTGGATATTTCGCTCTCCATTTTGTCGTCTCGCAGAAGCCAAATAAACAAATTGACAGTGTACTAAAACATGTGCGATATGTCGATAGATATATAAGGATTAAAATAGTAGAATAATAGAATTGGTGTGAAAATATAAATATAATTATTATAATTATTATTACACTATATGAAGATCAAAAACCTGCTAAATAATAATAATAATAATTGTATTACCTTAAATAATCATGTTTTATTTTATTTATATATATTGTATGAGGAGATCGCCAAGTATGCAGAAAATATAGATTATATCCGTCATTTTTATTATTATGATTCAAATATAAACAAATATATATATGTAATGTACAAAATATCCTTTAGAATTATTAAAATTTAAAATATATACTAAAATTTCTGCCAAAATTTCGGAAGTAAAAAGCAGAATTTTGAACCAGTCTAAAGCCCAGAAAAAAACATCTGTAAATCTAACTATAATAATTTGTTGAGCATGGAAATTTTGACACAAAATATATTTTCTTAAAGCTGTTAAATGTCTTAGATTTTATAATCCTGAGTTGGAGCATCTGCCAGTTCCTATATTATAAATATATTTCAAATAAATATTGTTTCCATGCATAGCCTCCATAGTGTACAAAAATCCCCCGATATCCCCCGAAAGGATACAGGCCTAACAGAGAACTAAGCCAATTTATATATGTATCAGCTTCTATTTGGGAGCCCATCGAAACCAGCTCTCAGGCTCAAACATCAATTTGCAGAGCAATTTATTCGTAATACAAAAGCCATTTAAACAATATGTATCCACTGGCTGGCTGTGTGTGTGTGGGTATGTGTGTGTGTGGAGGAGGAGGCGCATGCTGCATTTGACAGTTATTAGATTAACACCTACACAGATAGAGCCGGACACTCGAATGGATGTTAGGATGTTCGATTACTCGATACTGCCAGAATTTTAGCAAACAATAAAGCGCTCAAAATGTAGGCGAGCATACATAAAATCTTCAGCAGACAACGTTACGTTGATGGCGAAACAAAACAAAGGCCACTGATGGCGATGTCCAGTCCGATGACGCTGACGATGTTGTTGGCCCAGGAGCAGCAGCAAGCGATGTCAATTTCAGACAAACAACCCGGCTATATGCAAAACAGCCTTACAAACACATATATAGACTGCCTGTGTATGTGTGTGTGTGTGTGGGTGTGTGTCTGGGTGTGTGTGTTAGATATAGATACAGAGCTGGTGTAACGCTCAAGATGTGTGACAGCCGCCCACCGATTTGGCTACCGCCCTCAAACCAGACGTATTGCTACATAAAAAGGCGCTTACGATGTGGTTGGGCAATGGAGAGCTGAGATCCAGCTGAAGCTGGAGCTGGAGGTCAGTTGAAAGCTGTCAGTGGCTGTTTAGATTTACGTGCCGCAGTGCAGCAATGTCCGACGACAGTCGGAGTCAGAGACGGAGACAGAGTCGGGCGTATGGCCATCAAGAGGTGTGACAGCCAACGAACCCTATACCCGGACCCAACCCCAGTTGCACTCTGCAACAATGCAAAAACAACTCACACACACACACACACACACACTCACTCACACACACTCACAGAGGGACAGAGAGAGCATTGATTGTCATCGCTCTGACTTTTTGTTAACGAAAGTGTCAGCTAGACAAACGGACCCAAACCAGAGGACATCATTGAACCAGCCACTCCCCCATCTGTTCTGAGCTGCGTCCCCCTTTGTGATGGACCCCTGAAAATGCTTTCCACTTTGGCCAATAAATTATGATCAGGCTGATTTTTAGTATACCTTTTGTTTGCATCGAGCCTAACAGCGTGTGGTCTGTCCTGTCATTAAAATGTGTCCCAGACAGAATCGCCGAGCGATTGCTTTTGTTTTACGTTGGCCGCGCAACGAAAATAGTCGATTAAAAGCCGTAAAATGTTGACATTATTATTGAATAATTCTCGGATAGGTGACATTGAGTATGGCTAGTTGACGCCACATCCGAGTCCATTTTAGTGCTAAGCTATGTAATGCTGAGAATGCATATGAAGAGCTGGGCATGCAGGGTTAGTTATACTTCAAATTTCAAGATTATTAGATTCTCATCCGACTGAAAGTAAAAGTAAAGTAAACAACTGAAAATATTTATATACTTAAGAATTATATATACAAAATATACGAAATATGCCAAAGATGGAAAACGTATACAAAATAAATATTTATTATTCTATAAAATATATATATACAAATTATATCACTAAAGTTCTATAGAAAATCTTCAGCTTATATTGAAAGTATAGAAAAATGAATCTAAAGCGATTCATCTGCTGATTCTAATAAGGACTTCATATCATATCATCGGGTTGATGATACCATTGCATACATTTTTTGTACTTTTTTAGGCTTTGAAATTATATTTTTAAGTTTATTTCATATTTGACTCTATACGTGTTATTAAATAAATATGTACTTAATTTTAGACAGTCAAAAAGTTATATCTCTTCAATGAAAACTCCGATTGAAATAAACTAAATTTGTTTATATTCAGAAATGAATCAATTATATCGAAGGAAAGTCTATGCTCATTTTCATGTAATATGATCTTTATTTAAATACTTTCAAAAACATTACGAAAATATTTTTAATTTTTTGCCCAAATAAAATATAAAAGTCGCTTAACAGCGCATGCAAATATTAACAGATATGCCGCTAACATTCATACATATTTAAGTAACAGTCATTTAACAGCCCATGCCGAACCAGCTTGTCCTAGCCTCTGTGTAACTTCTGTATCTATATGTAGTCCACATTCTCGTCATATTAACACTTCAATTGGAACAATTAACAAGCCAACAAAATGTGATATCGCCAGCTTGGCATCTCGGATGCCTCTGCCTGGCCCATTATCCTAATCGTTTCCAGCTCGATTCTCTTGCAGTGGCCGGAGAGTCGTGCCGTATTATAAAATCGGATAAATCGCGACGTGCAACGACGTTGAATGAAAGTGAAAACCTGTGCGTGGGTAATTAAAAAAGTCAACGTCAAGGAGGAGGCGGAGGCAGCTCACGGCTCACAGATGAAACCTAATTCGCATGTTGAATTTTAATTAATTAAGAGCCAAGCAGCTGGCAGCTGGCGAGGGAGAGGAAGAGGATGGAGAGAGGGGGTAGATAGAAAAGGCAGATATAGAGGCAAGTCACGTGTCTCTGTCGCACCCAGCAGAGACCAATGTAGGTTAATGCGCTTAAAGAAGCGAACGTAAAGTGGGCGAGTGGTTCGGTGGATGGGTGATTTAGAGCTGAGAGGCTGTGGGGAGACTGTGGAGTCTTTCCTGCTGACGACGTAATTGGTGGCGTTACAAAATATTTACAGTTACCGTAACATGGAAATGGAAAAGATGATAAAGTGCGCAAATGTTTGCACTTTCCCTTTATGACTCTTTAGAGACATTTAGGTGTTGACTCCCTCCCACCCAGTTGGCCCACGTGTCTGCCTTTTGGCTGCCTGCTGACGTCTTGATAAGCGAATGCCATATTATATATATATATAAATAGATGTGAATATATTTGTATATTTATTCGAGTAATTTTTGGACTAACATTTCTGTTCGTCAGCCGAGTAGGCTGTGAGGCAACACTATTTGTATACAGATCCTCGGCATTCGCACAGCATAGCCCATTCAATCAACAATATTTTGGCCGCAGTCTCAAAACGTCTTGTTCTATTTAAAATAAATATATACTTTCAGTGCGAGAGAGTTACATAATCACTACGCACACACACACAACCACGATGAACCCCAACAAGTGCCCGGACCTGCATGAGCGGGCCAAGCGCATTCACGAGCCGGGCAGGATCTGCCGCGAGCTGCTCTACTTGCGCTCCAAGCGGGTAGGTATAGGGTAGTCATGCGATATGCCGAGTAGCTCCACCTGATCTATTCCCCTTGCCAGGCCGTGCGCGAGGTGCCCGCCTTTACCTACCAGGCCTTGCAGAAGGGCACAGTGGTCAAGCCGCCCAACAAGTGAGTTGAGTTCCACTGTGAATCGACTTACGGCCTACAGCAGCTCGTTTTCCATTGCAGAATTGATATATTTAAGCGTCAGCCCGTCAAGGAGACTGTCTTCAAGATCTACTTCATGCGCGGCGATATCCCCGTGGCTCTGTCCGGACGCAGCAATAAGCAGGATCCCACCAAGGACCGCCCTCTGCGCTGGCACTGCACGCCCGAGGAGCTCGACTATTGCTACTATTTGCCCATCTTTCTGGACGGGCTGGCTGACATTGACAGCGACACTCGTATGCTGGCGGTCAATGCAGCCGTCGATCTGATCATGAGACAGCCGCACAAAGTGCTCCCAGTGCTGCCGAAGCTAATACTGCCCCTCAAACGAGCCTTCCAGACCCGGGACAAACGCATCATCATCTCGGCGCTCCAGGTGCTGCAGCTGATGGTTCGATTGGGTTAGTTCTCCATTCGCCTTACTCGATTCGTTCGTTCAGTGTAATTTCCGATACCTTCCAGGTCCTTGCGTGGGACAAGCCCTGGTTCCCTTCTATCGTCAGCTGCTGGCCGTGTGCAACCTCTACAAGAATGTCAACGTGAATCTGGGCGAGGGCGTCGACCCGGACCGCAGCAAGCGCATCGGCGATGTCATCGAGGACACCCTGAAGCTGCTCGAGTACTGCGGCGGACCCAACGCCTTCATCAACATCAAGTACATGGTGCCGACCTACGAGAGTAGCGTCTTTCCGCGCTGCCAGGCTACCGATGGCCAGGATGCAGCCCCCAAGCATTGATGACTGCTCCAAGTTTCTGCCAACTTTTAACAGACTTATTTTGGTTCAGTTGTTATGATTACATTAACAGAAAATTATCGTCAATTAGACTCGAAATTTTACGCAATAAAGCAAATCAGTACGGTTCTAGCATGACAATGCTACACCCATAAATAATTCGCCATTCCGCTCGTCAATTGAAGTCAAGGGCAGGGTAGTATGTTGTATGTTAAATAAACATATGCCCAACTTAAGTAAGGGTATCATACTCATGAAAGACTCTTTGTTGCTTTGTTTATATTATAACAATTATACAACATAAGAGATAAGCCAACTTTGGAGAGACTGAGTCTTGAGGCTCAAGCTGTGAAAGTAATGCACGACAAAAACAGTGCGCTGCGAGACCTCTAACTGTCTGGTCCTGTTTTTATATGTTCTTTGATCAGTGGTGCTTGCTCATTTATCTCTTTGCTATGGAAAACAAAGGATTTCAGCTTTGTATGTGCTTAATATTATGCACAATAAGTTTGGTTCAGTGCGTGAGCCTGTATGAATTTGAGAAAGTGGGAAATTTCGCATACTACATAGGAGAGGGCGACAATGTGCGGTTCTCAGAGAGCTCAGTATAAAACAACGATAATAAGATCTCTATAATTCTAGGCATCAGTGATATTCTATTGGTTTGATGCCCGACAGGAATGTCGTTCGAACGGCGGACAACTCGTGTCTGTTGTCTCGGAGACGCAAATGAATGATCTGCAGAAGTACATCATCGATCGGGGATACGCGAACGGAAGTAGATTTTTCACATCGGGCCACAGTTTCCACAGTCCAGAGCCTTTCAAATGGGACGCGTTGCAGGAGTCAGTCGACTACAGCAAATGGCTGCCAGGCGAAGGCCCAAAAGACAGCAGTTTTCTGAGTCTACAGCTGATCAATTCGGAGCTCTTCATGGTCAGATCATTGGGCTTCTATGAGTACTACATATGCGAATATGAGACACGGCAACAGAAATTATGCAAGATCCTTAAAAACCCCGATTTTTATATTCCTTCGGTGGCAATTATTCTTGCAATTATATTAGCCGTAAAATTAATATTAAAGAATTCAAAAAGGAAAGCAAAAGAGGATGAACAGGCACTAGTTGGGTCTAATGATCCATCATAATATTGTTAGATTTACAAATCATTCTACGTTTCTGTTATGCATACATATGTATGCAATTATTCTTGTAATTATATTAGCAGAAAAATTATATTATTAATATATAATTATTATTAATACATATATTGTTATTATACCCTGAACCCATTGAAAATGGGAAATCAGGGTATAATGGTTTTGTGAAAAAGTATGTAACGGGCAGAAGGAGGCGTGGCAGACCCCATAAAATATATATATTCTTGATCAGCGCGACGAGCTGAGTTGATATAGCCCTGTCCGTCTGTCCGTCCGTCCGTCCGTCCATATGAGTGCGTCGATCTCAGAAGTTATAAGAGCTAGAGAGCGGAAATTTGGCATGCACACTCGTGTGTACCATACGCAATACGAGTTTGCTGTTTGTTGAATAATTTCTTTTCTAGACATACAATCTTAATGAAACTTTCAGAGCGTGATCATATACTGAAAATGTGTGTACATTCCAAGCACAAGTACTTGCAACTGTTGTACAAATTGGGGGCGAAGGGGGCGTAGTATCAACAATCTGTAAATTACAAAATCTTCGTATCGATCAACTGTATATACACAGTACATCTGAAATCCCTAGGTCTAAAATGTTCAAAATAGGCTACAAATCCTCTATCAAATCCTCTATCAAGATCAGATTTCGGAAGATATCTGCATTCGACCCAAACTTTTGTACATGTTTACTTTCTCATTCCACACAGATCAAATTCAGACTTATAGGAAATTGAGCACCTATTCATTGCATTTTCATTTTGTAAACATTTCAAGTAGGTGTTGAGGCCTGGTCTTGGTGTTGGGTTCGGGCTGTGGGATATCTGTAGCACTTCTAATAAAACCTTTTTCTTTTGAAATTTTATATAGTGTGTAATCAGTTTTTCACCTGGATTTAGCTGGGTTTCGAGCTCTATAAAAACAGTTGAGCCCTACGATACGCCTCGCAGTTTAGCTCTGGATGGAACATGATGATGTTTGGCAAGTCTTGTGAGCTGGTAATACTTGTGCTCCTCATATTGGCCAGCTATGCTTGCTTCTACTTGGAGTTCTGGAAACGTAAGTTCAGTCGGTCTATGAATTCAGTTATTGCCTTTGCTTCCCTGTTCGAGCAGCCCGTTGTATGACACCCTTTGTGGAAATCGGCGACAACTGCTACTTTTTCTCCACCAACAAGGCTGTGCGTATACCCTGTAAATTGTGGAACTCCTCCTAACCAAATGTATCTTCCAGCCTACCTACGAGTACTATAAGATATCGTACAAGGGTCGCATCTTCAGTGTGCCCGCCGAGGTAAGTCGTCTGACCCTCTGACGCTTTCTCCCTCTTGAATTTCCCTTCACTCGCAGCTCGACTGGCTGCATGCCAGCTTCGCCTGTGAGACTCTGGATCCCAGTGCTCGACTGATGACGGTCAAGTCTGCAGAAGAGATGCGATATCTCTCCGACTATTTGGGGCGCTATGCTCATCCCGACATCCATCCCTACTTCTGGAGCGGCGGACATCGAGGAAGTCTGGCCGACAGCGTTGTGGAGCGCAGTTCCTTGAATTATTTCTACTGGCATCACGATCCGCATCCCATGAACTTCTCCAACTTCGTCGACAGCCAGCCAAACTCCACGATGCGCTTTCCCTCGGGCTACTGCGTCTATCTGGAGCTAATCGGATCGGAGCTCATCATGGCAACGGCGAGCTGCAAACATAAAATGGCATTCGCCTGCGAGCTACTATAACTAGCAAGGCATCTGAGGGGAAAATGCACACGGAAATATATTCGAAAACTCGATCTCGAGTGGATAAACAGCATTGCACAGCACTCATATACTCCTTTAGTTAGCATAATGTCAAATGTTCAAGTGGATATACGTAAATTTTTCATCTATTCAGTTATTCAAGTTTGAATGTAAACAGGAAATACACATACATATATGCTATTTACTTTGACGCCTATCTCGCAGTTAGACAACTCTTCGATTGGGGGCAGGTATCCGAAAATATAACAAAAATCAAAATTATCATAAATCAAAAAAACATTAATATATACTCATGCATTATTTAGAGACTCAGGCTTAAAATAAACGAAGAAATATAATTTTTATACTATATACTATATTCTATATACTATATACTAAATTGTTGATGGGATGTGAATGAGTATTCCGCAGTCGGTAACGCCCGACTGCAACGTTCTTACTTGTATTGTTAATATACTTTTTTGTAGGCCGTTTGGTTGAACATGGTATTTCCATTATATACCCTGGTAAATACCATAAATTAATATATATTCTAAGAATCACACTTGCGAATGCAGTCGCATTCTTTGAGTGTTTATAATGTCGTGTAATTGCGCATTTCAAATATTGTAGTTGATAAACCTGATCGTATTGATCGTATTGATTAGATCAGATTAGATTAGATTAGATTAGTAACTAAAGCTGATACTGAGGCTAATTAACAAATATAATTATAATAGTCAATGTAATAATAATATTATATGATTATATTTAAGTAGAAAAGTAAATGAAAAATGTGAAACACAACAGTAAACCAAAATTTTCTAAGCCATATAAACAAACAAAATATAATATTAATTATTGTATAATTAAGGTGAATTCAAATATTTTAAATGATACTCACTTGGGTGGCTTAAGGCACTTTAGAATAAGACACTGACACACTTGCAGTCGGGGGTTAAGCAAGTTTGATTCAAAGTTGAATATTTATTAGATATATTTTTGCTTTCCAATTCCACTCAGAATCGATGGGATGAAGCCTCTTTCGGATTGCATGCACACCCGTTTCTAAAACTCTAACTCGAGCCATCTGCCAGCGATTCTCGAAACGGGTATACAGGGAATGATAAATGCCTAATTAATTTTTAATTTTCTGAAACAAGCTTCAAGCAGGCAACGCGCAGACACTTTTCAACAATGAAACGAGCGGCCGTAAATAAAAAGCTCATTACAATAAATCATAAAGTGTAAATTGTTCAATTCGGCTGGCTGCTTTAATGGAATATCCATGTCTCTCTGACTCTCTGACTGTCTGACTGGCAGCCGCATTTGTCTAAGGAGGGTGTGTCGCTACCCTCTCTATCAGGCAGAGGATCTCCCTTATTCTGTCTGGCTGTCTGCCTGTGTTGGCCATACTCGTATCTGGCCAAAATCAAGCAAGGGCCAAAACACACACTCTTGACTTCTGCCGGCACTTTTCACAGATCGAAGAACGGGGCACGCTTTAAAATTAATTTAGTTAAATTGCCGCCTGACACTGAATGTGGGATGTGGCTTCTGTGGCTCTGCCTGTGGCTCTGGCTCTGCCTCTGGCTGTGGCTGTGCCTGTGGCTGTGTTGCGCTTTTCAGCGTAATTAAGTGCCGACCCTCCATAATTTTGAAAAACAAATCTTGTTATCAACGCGCAGCAATACAAAACACAGTTGTTGCTAGTCCTGGCCGTTGCTGGTTGGTCAGTACGTTGTTGGCAGAGTCGGGCTTTTGGTGGGCAAACCACCCGAATGGCTGGTTGTCTGCGTGGCTGGTTCGATTGTGGTGCGTAGATAAAAACCTGCCAAGTGTTGCAACTCAATTTGCCCCACCCGGCCAGAGCTGTGGCAACAAACCACCCTCCGATTGGTTGCTTCGTTCCACCACACAAATTCTTAATTCACTTTTTGGGTTCAGTTTTTTTTTTTTTTTTTTTAATCTCCTGTTGACGGTAAATCAAACAGTCCCCCTGGGTGCAGCAGCAGGACCAGGAGCACTTGAAGACCCACCCGCCATATAAATTGCATTTGGCTGCTTGTGAATTTTCATTTTCATTTTGATTTTCATTTTTATTGTGCTGCTTCCAATGCCGTTAAAACGTTTTGACAGTTTTACGCAATCTCTTTTTTTTTTTTTGGATCATTTTTATTGCGTCTCATCCGAGAGTGTGTCTTCCATCAATGGGTGGAAGCAAAGGGTTCGCCGCGGGGCGCTAAACTCTGATTTAGGTGGAAA